ACTCGCTTTTCCAATGTGTCTTCTCACCGCTATGTGCTGCAATCGCTGGACCATACAGCCAATAGACCAATTGCCCATCTCTTGGGTTTGTATGACTAAATAATTATTCATAACCAAATTTCGACGACAATCCTTGATACCAGTACTTTTACCTAGAATACATGCCCTATCTACTTAGGAAAAAAATTTAAAACGTTCAAAAACCCAACATCGTGTTATTTTTTCACATTTCCTTCTTATGTTTACTAAGATTTTTTTACTTGAAACTGTCAGATACTGTATTTGTTTATATACAGGGTGTCCGGTCATAAGTGTTAAATAAAATTTTGCATTAAACTACATGGTAATGGGGACAGAATGTCGCAAATTTGAGGTTCCCAACTTCAACAGTTAGAGAATAACAAATAAATTAAGATTTTTCAAAAATTATTGTAGTTGTTATGAAAAAGGTTATAATACTCTGTTAAAAATTCACTTACTGTCAATTTCAATGTCATATTCAGAATCCTCACAAAATTTTTAATAGATATACAGTAGACTCTTGATAATTCGAAATTGGTGGGCCAAGCATATAAATTTGAATTATCAAGAGTTTTGAATTATCAAGAGTTCGATTTATCGGGAGAAAAATAAACCATTCGAATTACAGAGAGTTCATTTGTTTAATACATACAAAGGTACAGCACGTTACAATAAAACATCATACCGTATTTCAGTACACTTTTAAACAATCAACGGCTTATTTTTCAGTTCAAGAAATCTGTTATTTAGCGCTACAGTATATATTTTGCCAATAGCTGAACTCTCAGCTGTCGACAACTACGTTTGTGCTCAAGCAGGAGATGACGCGCAATCTAGAGATCGGATTGCCAACTTTGAAAAACAAGTCAGCGAACTAACTCAGACTACTGCTCTTACTAAACAAACATCAAAACGTCCAACACTAGCCTACCATGGGAACAGGATGTACTGTACTGTATAGTTTCCTGATATAACAGGAAGAGATCACTTCGAATTATAGAGTGTTTTGCCGACTAAACTTCGAATTACTGCGTGACTTTGATTTATAGAGTGTTTTTTCGACGAAACTTCGAATTAAAACATGACTTCGAATTATAGAGTGTTAACCGACAAAACTTCGAATTACTGAGTTACTTCGAATTATAGCGTGTTTTTCCGACGAAACTTCGAATTACTGCGTGTTACAAATTGACCTGCCCTCTATTTGGACTTTGAAATACCGAGTGTATCAAAATGCATGGTAAAAATTTGAAATATTGAGAGATTCTCTAGGGACTGAGCCTTCATTTTGAATTATCGAAAGTTTTGAATTATCAAGTGTTTGAATTACCAAGAGTGGACTGTAACACATAATCGTTGGGATACGGAAAAATATTCTATTTAAAATTCTTCGTTAAACAAATTATTTTTATATCGACAAAAATGTAAATAACATTCAGCAATTTATTTCTCGGTTGTTGAGTTCGGGCGAGGTTATCAAATATGACTAAAAACTTCCTTATTTAAAGGGCTTTACAATGATGTATTACAACTTTTACCTACTGTCAAATCCGTGGTGAATTTTACGCACTATTGTGAAAAATCACGGTCAAGCCAAAACAGATATTGTAAAAATAATAAAATTTTACTTACTATTTATGAGCTGACCACTGATGATGATGGTGTGTATAATTTATGATTGACCAGACTACACTTCCATCAAACTAAAGAGTTTTTTTTAAGACTTTTGGAAAATTTGTAATTAAAAAACACAATACATTAGTAAAAAACACAATACACACTTTAATTTTAATATGAAAGGATAGTTAACACATTAAACAAATCAATGACATACTTTGTCCGAGGCTCCTTGGACCTTTGTAAATTGATACGGATGGAAGTTATTGTCCTTAAACACTTTATGTACTTTCCACCGGGACATACTAGTTTCAAGGGCAAGCTGTCTAACACTAGTAGTAGGATTATCCATAACTCTCTGAATTACACCCTCTTCAGCTGCAACATCATGCACAGGTCCTACTTCTTTCTTCTTCTTCTCAACCGATCCTGTTTCCAGCAAACGTTGATGCACTCTAGTAAACACCTGAGTACTGGGGGTGGTGCGATCAGGATACCGATTCTGGTACTCTCTCTGAGCAGCCGACGCATTACCGTTACACAAACCATAAAAAAAAAAATTTCAACATACTCCCGAATCGAAAAAGACATAGTTGACCGATTAGGGCCAACTGTCCACATGTGACTGATAGATCTTTTTAAGATATGACTACTGGTTCGCTTTGTTTTCTTATCGCTTGGATAAAGTATTGTTATCAGTAAAATACCTGAATCTATTGACTAAATCCATTCAACAAACTAGAAATTCCGGGAGATAATTTAAATCTTATATGAAAAATATACGATAACCGTAACTTTATCACAAACACATTTTACTACTATGTTTCTTTTCTTAGCTTGGTAGTTATAAACAAAGCGTTGCATGCGAGAAAAAATACAAATTGTTTGTTGCCTGCACTTAAATGTATTATTCTTCACAATAGATTTTCTTCGCCCTACCATGTTTTTTCATAATAATGATCGAATTACATTAGGAAATTTGAAATACGGTAAAAACTATTATACACCGTTGTAAAGTCCTTTAAATAAGGAAGTTTTTAGTCATATTTGATCAACTCAGCGGAACTCAACAACCGAGATATAAATTGCTGAATGTTATTTACATTTTCGTCAAAATAAAAATAATTTGTTTAACAAAGAATTTTAAATAGAATATTTTTCCGTACCCCAACGATTATGTGTTATATCTATTTAACATTTTGTGAAGATTCTGAAAATGACATTGAAATTGACAGTAAGTGAATTTTTAACAGAGTAAAATAACCTTTTTCATAACAACTACAATAATTTTTGAAAAATCTTAATTTATTTGTTATTCTCTAACTGTTGAAGTTGGGAACCTCAAATTTGCGACATTCTGTCACCATTACCATGTAGTTTAATGCAAAATTTTATTTAACACTTATGACCGGACTCCCTGTATAATAGTTTCGCCAGCATATCTGAAAATATGCAAACCAACTGCTGTTTTTTATATAAGAAGGTTTCAACTGACTTCTATATAAAGATCCCCGTGTGTAGAACGGGCACACAGCTAGTAGTTAGTAACAATTAAAAACATTTTCCACATTTTATCAAAAATATGTTCATAACAAGCAAACTAAACAGTTTACTTGTTCTCCATAAGAATAACATAGCAATTTTAAATTTACATTTTTTTTTTTAATTTGTAACCGCTTATTTGTTTTTTTAAGCTCTACAAAATGGTTTGGAAATAAATTGCAAAGCTTAATGTTTTTTGAGTAAAAAATGGGAAAAACCTATTTTTACCCCGTTCCCATAGTCCGATCATGCTGGTTCGCGAACTCGTTCGAATAAATGTAGGTTTACACGTTTGCACCAAATTTCATCAAAATCGGATCATTTTTGCTCGAGTTATCGTCCTAACGGACATATATATATATATATATATATATATGAATTTGAACGGATGGTGTTTTTGGCCTCTAGGGACCTCAACAAAAAAAAATCGGTCCCGAGTCCAGGTCTTACCATGAGTACTACGGTAATAGCTTATTCCCTATATGGGAAATTTGCTAAAAGTGACTTAGGCCGACATTATCCTTAGACACAGCTGTTAACACGTTGATTGCGGCCGTTCCTGATCGGGTACGGTGCTCGGCCCTCGTTCGGTGCGTCCATACTCGATCGAGAATGCTCGACAATGCCTTTTGTATATTTTCGTTTTTGCTCTAGCGTTGGTTGAAGGCAGACCTATACCACGTTAGCATGTAGTGTGTGACTTGCTTTTTGTTGTGGTGTAGGTTGGTAGTAAATTTCTCCGTAAAATCCCCTTCTGGCAAGCTTAAAAATCAACTTTTTGTCCCATCTTTTTCCCTCCATTACAATCCCAATGGGAACGGCTACATTCCAAGCAGTGCTTGAATCTGTTGGTGTTTAGCGAATTGTGTTGACTCTTGTCGTAAAGCAGGACATCCCCACACGTTATTTGCTATTCGTCAGACCGAAATTGGAAAGCCAATCACACACGGTAATCGGGTTTGTTAGACGCTGCGGGATGCGATGCACTGGGGATACGCCTGCCATTTGACGTGCCGAAGCGAACGTGTTAATTAATTACTAGCCGATACAGCTAATGGCAACTAAGGGACCTACAGTTTATAGTGGAATCCGAACCACAATTGTCCCTGTAATTAACGAATTGGTCTAATTATCAGGATAGTACTGCGGATAGTCGTAGTACTCACTAGTGCGAATGTTAATCCACACCAGGGAGCATTATACTGTTAATACTGTTCAATGAAATGGCGACCATACATAGTAGGTATTTTAAGCCAAGTATGAATGGAGATGAGTGTAGGATGAGTGGCGCGATCTTGTACTCTTGTTAGTGACTAAGGCCGACATTCCTTAGACACAGCTGTTAATTAATAGCCCATACAGCTAATGGCAACTAAGGGACCTACAGTTTAAAGTGGAATCCGAACCATATATTTCCTTGGTATATACAAATTGGTCAAATTATCAGGATAGTACTGCGGATAGTCGTAGTACTCACTCGTGCGGACGTTAATCCACACCAGGGAGTATCGCATCCACAGTGCATGCCTATCCGCAATTCGTGACCTCCTATTAGCTGGATTACAGGACGACGCCACCCGTCCCAGTCAATTGCATCCACAGTGCATGCCAATAAATATCCACATCAATATTCAATCATTAACATTGCTGCTATGGGTAGAAAATCCAACATGGTCGTCCGTCCTGAAAACTCTTAATGAGTAGTGTGTGTCTTTATATAATAATTATATTAGGAATGTTACATATAATGAGCTTAAAATGTAAACGTTTACATAAATAATTTATGAATTCTTTGAGACAGTAACTCACTATTGTCACAGGTGATCCCTTTGTGGTACGCTGTGATGTCCTGCTCCTCGGCCGAGCTGTACAAGAGGATTCTTATAGAGTTCCAGCAGCATGTCCTAGACTGGCCGTTCATATCAGCTCTGATGAACAACGACCCTGCGCTTAACAAAGCATTACAAACAGTGTTTCCCGGCATTGACATCTATGGCTCATGGTTCTACTATTGTCATGTAAGTTAAACAAGGTTAATAGCAGCTAGCAGTGCTTGAATGGAGATGTAACTAAGGGAGAGTTATTTTTATCATTCTCATCATCCCATTCCATGTTTCCGATTCCTTGACAACTATGGGGATTTGTGCTGTGGTATGAATAAGAGCAGTAGAACAATATGTAGCATCAATATTTGGGCAATTTTCAGTTTCTTAAAATTTTTCCTAGAGGAAGAGATTCCGAAACACCATTTTGCCATAGTAGTTTTGTCGCATGAGCTTATGTAAAAAATCGATGAAGGAAAGTTTTATAAAAATAAACTCTAAAGATTTGTTAATGTTTATGTAACTTTTCTGACATTTTGGCTAATATGTTAAGGACATTTAGGTATGACACACCTAAGTGACTTAAATTTAAAATCAAGTATAACGTGCTGTGAAAGGAGGCAAGAAGGGCATGCTGAAATAAGAAGTCACATTATTCCAGTAAAAATCCTATATATTGAAATAAATTCTTAATACTAACAAATGTTCAGTATGATAACACCTTTGAAAATCAACTAAATTGATTTCTTAACTTTTCTTAATTTAACTTTTTTTCTTCATCACTTAGCTTAAAAAATGTATAAATATATACAATACGACTCTCTTCCACACACAGAGGTATTCCTTCTTCGTGGAAGATATTTCGCTAATTTAAAAAGCTTTTTTATATGTTTATGTTTATATTAAATTTTATATTATTAGAATACCAAACAATATTGTAAACATTTCTGTATGGTACTAACATGATTTGTAATTTGTAAATATTTTGGCGGAATAAATGCTATTTTGATTTGATTTGATTGATTCTTCACCTAAACGAAAGGTAAACTTTACAACCATTACTAACCCCCCCCCCCATTTTAATTTTGCATAGTAAAATCCCTCCCCTTTCTTTGATCAATCAAACCAAAAGTTCCCCTAAAACTCCAGGTTTCAGATTTGGCAACAGTTTTTCTTGAACCCACTTTTCATAGTTAACAGTGTTCATGTTTTTGTGGTAGTCCCCTGTACTTTGGCTGGCTTTCCACTGGAGAAATGTGTTAGGTATAAAACCATCTTCTCCACCTGCGTATATGATGATTAGACGGTCTCCATTACCAACTGGAACATGAAGTCCACCATTTGTACTATCCTGCCATGAACTTGGAGTAGCGTGATTGGTCACCACATACGTCTCATCGGTGTACACTATTGGTCGGCCTTCCCTTCTAAATTGTCTCATTTGCCTAATAAAATTTATCCTTTTGTTTCTTACATCTTCTCGTTCAATTAGGATTTTTTTGTTATTCCTAGTCTTTCTCCACTTGAAACCCAGTTCTTTCAAAATTCGTCTCAAACTTGCGTTGGAGCCTTTGAAATCGATGGCTTCGGAAAGTCTCAATCGCAACTTCTCAACTGTCGGGACACATTTGTCAGATACATAGAAATTATGTACAGTTCTCCTAACAACTGCTTTGTTAAACTCATCCATTTCTGTAATATTCTGTTTAATTTCTCGTTTTTTATCTGGTGTCAAAAATGAAGCAGTCTCATCAGGGGGAGTGTTATTTAGTTTTACAGCTTCTTTTGTAATCCGGTGTATGGTACTTACAGAAACACCCGTTGCTTTGGAATATCTTTCCTGGCACCTTTTCACTGGCACTATGAAATTATTTTCATTCCACTGTCTAGATTCTTCTTAAAAAAACTTTAATACATTACACACTATTTCCCAAGACTGTCTATGCAATTTTTTGTTCTGGACCTTGCTCAATATTGGAGGCATTTCTAATCACAGAAGCGCACATACACGACACAATGATATACTACGGAACGACAGAGAATATGACCGATCAGCCGGAATACCACAGCGTAACTGTTAAGTTAAAGTGTAAAAACCCAGAGGTTGGGGCAGATTCCCGAAAGGGTGACATGAGTCATAAACAAGCATCTGGCAACAAACACATTTCTCGATAAAGGAAAGAGAAAGCAAGCCTCCTGCAACGTGTTTCCGTCTTACAAACCCCAAAGCGCAACAATAAAAATGTTTTACAAAAACACAAGTTCATTTCAGATCACTAGACTAATAATTTGTTTCTTTAGACACCATGTTTCTCGTTCATACGATCGATTGATTGTCCAATTTATTTTAAGGGGGAGTTTTCATCACAAGATAACAAAGTTAAAAAGGTTTACACAATTTACGAGAAAATAGATCATAATGTTATATTTAGGAAACTTGACAAAACAAAAATTGTTGTAAATTACCCCAATATTCGTCAATTTATATGTGTGTATATATATTGTAATAATTATATGGTTTTTAAATAACTCAAAAATTTCGAATCCACAGATTTTTTAACTTTTTGTGATATAAATTTAACAAACCGGGTACAAATTTAAAACTTTGTAATATAACATTTGACAATACTTTCTTAAATTTGATAGGGTTCTCGTCAAAATTGAACAAACCGTTTCGAAGGTGTGGGTGTGATACCGTAAACTCGAGTCTACACTATTTTTGCACGGGCAGTAGTTGTAGGAAACCAATGTTTTCAGGACAGTACCCGCACTCCTCCCCGCGCCCATCCCAACGCTCGCCAATCCATCTGTCAAGATCTGTGGCGACCCTTATAATTTCCTAAGATACTGCAAATTATCTGAATCGGGAGGGGAAGGGTGATAGGAAAGCACAAGGGGGAGGATTGGGGACTTTTACTTTTACGAAAATACACATTTCAACATGTTCTATTTTATGTTTCAGAGTATATGGAAAGAAGTAAATCTAAACAACCTAACAGAGGAATGTAAAGTGCTAAACTCTACACTACTGATGGCAGTTAAATTGTTAATGGTCATGCCTTACTTGCCTCCACCTTCTATGGAAAATACTGCATCGGTTTCAATGGTGGACGGATTTCAATATGTGAGGGAATTCGCTACAGAAAATAATTTACCAGAAGGTTTCAACAGAGTACTTGACTATGTAGCTATATATTGGTTCAACAAAGTGACACCTGAGAATTTTACAGTTTTTGGCAAGCATACAGACACACTAAACTATGTTGAAACCCTGCAACTTCTTCTACTTTCTTTTATGAAAGAGAATGCAAATGTTTGGGAACTGACACGTAAGTATGTTTTTTAGTAAACTTACTCTATGTACCAAGATACATAATCCACCGATTTTATATTAGGAGAAACATGTTTTATTTTTTATGATAAAACCTCAATTTGATTTTATTAAGTAGCTTTTTATCAGTTAAATTTAATATATTTCTACAATCTACATACATGCTAGTATCTTGCTTACAAGCCTTGTTTGGGACTGTACTACAACAAACATTCACCTACAGTGCAGAGTACATACCTGGTGTGTACATTAGGGGTGTGTGAATATTTGAACTTAGAACTATTTTGAATCAAATATCGGGATATTTGATTCAATTTGAAATGTCTAAATGGGTTCGAAGTTCTAATCGAATATTTAAATGATCAACCTACCATTTAAAAATAGGTTATAATCAATTATTATCCCAAATTAAATCATTATTTACATTGTTTCATCGTTCTAAAAAGTAAATAAAATGAAAATTTAAGTCCAACTAGAAGTTAACTGTAAAAATATTTAAGATCTGCAGAATAGAATACTAACTACTGACGCGACACGGGCGCTGCAGCGGCAGCTCAGATCAGTCGAATCCGATTTCCGACTTTCGAATCCACCAAATCCTAAGAAAAATTGCATATTTTGCTTCTACTGAGGTTGGTTTATATACATTGGTCCAATCAGTTGATTTTAGTTGCATTTTGAGATTATCAAGGTTTTCTTTTGAGAAGTTTCTTGCATTTTTGTAGATAAATGTTTGGTGGATAGGTTTATTGTTGATTGTACATAACAGATAGTGGTGGTCGGAGATGGGATTTTCAAGTGCTTGTACTTCTAGATAATTTATTTTTATATTAGTGTAGCATCCTTCTATGCTTGTGATTGTGGTGGGGGTTTTACGAGTAACCAGTATTTGTCTGATATGGCATCCATGTTGGGTTAGTAGGTTCTCTAGGTTTATTATGCTTCAGTCTTCTGGTCTTAGGATGTTGAAGTTTGTATCGCCAAGGATAATTTTTTTTTATGCTGTGTTTTGATGTTTGAGTAGATGGCCTAATTTTTCAAGGAATGTGTCTTCTGTATTAGGGCTTGGTGATCTGTAGATTCCAACTAGTATTATATTTTGTTTTTTAATTTTTATTTTAACTGCAATTGTTTCAAAATTAAGTTCTGTTGGATGATATGGTTAGGCTCGCTTTCTTGTATAGAGCTATACCACCCCACATATTCTATGTGTTAAATATCCTTGTATGTTGGTGCTTATTAAGTCTTCATGTTTAAATGAGGTAGCCATGCTCTGAAAGTAGTAGTAAATCGGGGTTATGTTTATCTATTACAATGTGAAGTCTGTCTTTCTTGTTCAGTAGTAAGTTTATAAAACAGATTATTTGATCATTCAATGCTATGTTAAGTAGGTACCCAAGGCTATCTTATCACATTTCAGAATCATTCAAAGTCATTCACTTTTTAATAGGCCTTTCTTATCAACAAGCTTTTACCTTTTCTGAAAATTGTTTTGGGTTGAGGGTGTAACTTTTCATAGGGTTAAGCATTTTTGAAAGAGCGTGTTTCCCTGAATTGATTTTGGAAAGTACTCATTTTATGTGATCATCCCAACTCAGGGGTTCATCAATCTCCAATCCAAGTTCAATAATTAAGTTTCAATAATTTGACCCTCAAAGACAACTGTGGGTAATGCTTGAATTTATTTTGAGGTGTTCTAAAATAGACAAAATTTGTTTTATTGATGTTCAATTTAAGGTTTAATTTGTTAAAATAATTGTCTATGTTTTCCAATTCAATATTTGAGAGAAGTTCAAATTGTTCCGTGTTTTTCCCAGATATTTTTATATACGAGTCATCAGCACATAGACAGACTACTTTGGATATTAGTTAATGTTGATTCTATATTTTTCAAATAACTAATGAATAAAGGAGGGGCTAATATCGAACCCTGGGGTACTCCATACTTCACTGGCTTAAGATCAGATACAATTTTATAAACTCTATTCTTTTGTGAAATATGAGTAATTTCCACACATTGAAATCTATTGTTTAGATATGAAGTAAACCATTCCAAAGACTCATTATTAGACATGCCCAATGATTTTAGTGTTTTAATTAAGGTTGAATATTTAACACTATCAAAGGCCTTTGATAAATCCATAAAAATACCTAAAGTGTGTTCTCCCTTATCTACTGACTCAATGATGGTGCTAACAAAATCTGCTGCTGCTGTTGTCACTGACCGGTACCTTTGAAAACCGTGTTGAATATCATCGAGAAGTTTATTCTTGAAACATCTGTTTACTGCTATCAAGTGATTCCAGCCACCACAGAATTATTTTTTTTTTTATATTTTGTGGTCGCTGAGTGAATCAATTACAACGATCAGTATTGAGGTTAGTTCAGCAGTGTAGGCCTAATCACCCTCAATGCTCAATGGTTCAGTTGAACATTTGGCCCTGTGTTGCATTGTCTTGCTGTTTGTAAATCTACTCTTATGAAAATCAGTTTTCAAAATTGTTGTACTGTATAACTTAAGATCTACAGTTCTAATGGATCAATTTTATTAATCAATGGGTGGTTTGAAAGCTCACTCCCTAAAAATGTTTCTTATCACAAAAATCCTTTCGGGCTCGACCCCAGTGGCTCTGGGGTTTCTCATATTAACCTTATGCGTATCTATAATATTAAAACGTCTAGTTATATTTTGACATTTTCTACCCGAATTCAACATTTCCAAATTATATTTTTTGAAAATATCCCAAACTATAAACTATATGAGTTTCCAAAATATCAATTGAAACAAATTTACGGCAGAATCAAAAATTGTTTTACAGGTTCGTTCCAGTGCATGGCAAGATCAACTCTTGGTGATTTCAATAGACTCTTAAATGGCAAGCGACTCATTTCTAAGAAGAATACTCGTGGGAAAAGATTCAACCCACCAATTCGTCTGAACATGAAAAGATTGATGGGAAGAACTCTGGATGTGAAAACATTTTTGGAAAAGTCAACCATTTATTTGGAAGAGATGTTGGATATTTTCCTTCACCCTCTTTACCTAGCTACAAATTTTGAAAAAACAAATTATTCACACACAGAGGGATGGGCAGTAAGAATTTTCTCTGAGTAACTTGTTATTGCATAAATACACTTCTTAACCTGTCGGCGTCCAGAAAATGGTGGCTCGTCGACGTGTCCGTACATGTCTATGCACCACCACTACGACCCGCTAACACACATTTATCCGAGGTGGCGGGTTGTCGTGCACGCTCTGGTCAACGTGTCACCACTTCAACTCACCACCCCAACCTTATTCTTCTTTTAGGTGGCGGGTTGACGTGGTGGTGCCTTGACACGATCCTCCCAAGAAACAAGCCTCTACAGCCTGACTGATCACTTATTGCAAACAAAAAACTGGCCACTGAAATAGAAGAGTCTTCTTGTTGAAGACTGCGGCCTGGCGTCTGCTACATCATAGCATAAAGAGACGGAATACTAATAACCTCAATTATAAAGAATTTACTAAAACCACACCATTCTAGAACAGAACTAACTTAAAACTTAAATTATAAAATAAAAATTAAAAATAACTGTTGTTTGTGGCATTTGATTTATTTATGATTCCTGTGACGGAGATTGATGCTGCCGGGTCTCTCTTTTTTGTTGACCCGGGTCAACAAATTCAATACATTTAGCAAAATGCCCACTTATAATGTAGATATTTGCATGAAACTTTGGAACAAAGGTACAAAGGTTTGGAACAACATATATTTTTTTTACAAAAAAACACCATAAATAGCTAATTTTATTTGGTTGACTCGGGTCAATCTCCAAAAGAAAGTACTTAGAATTAAGCTATATACATGAAACTTGAAACGAAGGTATATCAACATGTATTCTACACGTAAGTAAAATTTAGTAACGATTAATGAAATATTTACCTATTTTATTAACAAAATACCCCTGCCGCAGCAAGCTTGCAGACTAAGTGAATTTCCATTTGCTTGATTGGATTTACAATAAAATATATCCTCAAAAATATTATTTCCTATTTAAATAGCATTGTTTAACAAGTACTTAGGTTTGCTGCAACAGGGAGGGTTTAAAAGTGTGTTATTGTAAAATGTTAAATACAGTATGTAGTTTATTATGAAATACATAAATTCTCTTCCAAATTAAAATTTTATCAAAATATGCTTAAACAAGCAAACTACAACAGTTATTTATTCTCTATAAGAATAACAAGGATTTTAAAATTAAAATTTTTTGAATCTTCTCCGTAATCATTATGCACATAACAATGCTTCAACATACTAAATAGTTTAGTTTTTTAAGCTCTACAAACTGGTTTGGAAAGAAATTGCAAAATGTTATGTTCTAAGGGTAAAGTACCCCTGCCACAGCTTGACAAGGGTTTTTGAGTGTCCAAGAGGATTTTGTCTCCGTCCGAAAAATTTAAAGGATAAAAAATCTGTTCATAGAAAATAGTCTTTTGTAGGATAAACATCTCAATTTGCATTGTTACTGTATTACATTGCTGTACCAAACTTAATTTTAGCCCCATCAAAAATTTGAGACATTCATAAATTTTGCAAACACTCTATGTTATCAAAATATAGTTTACCCAGCCTAAGCCAATTAGTTGAACAGAACAAATTGTATAAAGCGTGGATGATAGAGCATATTTGCGTATGATACTTAAATAATGACATGGTATTGCATCGAGTTGGAGTTATAGATAGGATATTTTATTTCTCGATATCAGGGACAAGATGTAATAATATTGCAGTGGCGTGAGTGCTGGAACGATGATTCAAGTGGCACTTGCACACGCGTATCAAGTACACTTATCAATCAAACAAATTGTACCATCGCACTGCCACTGCCACTAGTGTAGTGTCTAGTGTCTGTATTTGTCTATCGTCTCTCGCCTTGCCACAACCTTCCCCTTGCCACACTACTTCAGTTCCTGAATTGGCCACGTGGCAGTATTGAATGGATGCCTAGATCGTACGTTTCAGAGAAATCCACACGGGACCGCAGCGGTCGCACCAATTTTCCCGAGCATCAACGCTTAGCATGGGGGTGAAATATCTACTTGAGGAGTATGTTTTATCTATGCCACTATGTGTTTAAAAACGTACCACTGTTTTTGCTGGTTTTGTTTCAGAGTTTTGTGTTGTTAGGTTGGCCGTGTGATCGGTTGGTGGGACTTGTCAAATTAGAGGCAAGATCAAGATGGTGTCATCCTGTTGTTTTGTTGATAGTAAACAAAAATATGTCAAAATTATGATTACAATATAAGTTTATTTATTTATTTTACGAGCAACCCATTTTAACAAGATCATAAACCGATGGTTGTTCTTTAATCAAATGCCATAGGGCTAAACCTAATGCGTCCTACACAGAGGATACGCGTCCAGGAACCAGACGTGGATTTGACGTCCGGCAGTGACGTCACGGGGTTGTGGGGGCCCGAAACGCCATTATCATGACAATACTATGTATAGCCATCTGCGTTCTTGGAGTAGTGGATAGAGTGCTCGTTTGATATGCAAGAGGTCCCTGGTTCGAATCTCATCAGTAACTTTATTTTTTTGTCAAAGATTTTGCTTTGAATGCCATTTCTTAATGAAAAATTCAAATGAAGGTTATTATTATTTTTTTTTATTGTTAAATATTTTAAGTAATATAAATTATAATAGAAATTTTAGAAAAAAAGAGTAGACTACTGTACAATTAGAAATTGACAATTAATTTTTACACAAAGAAATTTTGAATTCCAGCTCCATCTTCAAATTCTCTCGCTGACTGCCATTTCTTTCTACTTCTCCTCAAACACATACTGGTTGCCCTTAAAACAGCACAAATTGTTCTTGATCTTATCCAATTAATTACCAAACTGTATGGTTTTTTCAATTTGTCTGATAGTTTTTCAGCCATAACCCTTAAAACATTTGGAATTCATTCCCAAAAATTCCATCAACACTTGTGACAAGAGGAGTAAATTATGCATGTCGTTGTTCGCAAGCTTTAGTATACTTTTTTTTAATCTTCCGCTGTTTTTATAACTAGTTGATGAGGGATGGAGACATAAGATGGAGCATCAGTGTCCAGGATACGAACATAAACAATGCCTCCATCTAAGTCTTCCATACGCCTCTACACGCTAAATCAGCTTTTAGTGCAGGTTCTTGTAGATGGCTGCCTTCTGCTATCAAGGGCTCTTTTATGCAGTTTCCCCAGGCCTGTTCCATCATGATACCTATTGTGTCTCTTATTTCGTTGTGTCTTTTTATTATAATTCCGACGTTTAAGAGCATGCTCCACACTGAACTCATTTCCGCATCCCTCACATCTTAATGGGAAGTTTACAGGTGTTTTCCCATAAGGTAGAGCAAGTGCATCCCTAAATTCTTGTGGGGACATGTCTAGATTAAGTTTCTTCAGAGGCACGCATGTTAGCCAGCATCCATGTTTTGCTTTAGGTCCTGCATTTCGCATTATAATTTTCTGTCGGTTTTCTGAGAATGTTTCTGATATGTTTTTAACATGGTTTAAATTGCAGCTGACTTTTAAGCTGTTTTTATTATTGTTTTGTTTTTAGTTTTGACTCATGAATAAGTTCAGTTCTTTTTGTTAAACTAATTTACCAATCAATTTATGTATTTACTTCAAACATAAAACTTGCGGCAAGGATGATTTTATGGAAAACTTAAGAGATAGTTTATTCAATTCCACAGTCTATTTCATTATAATGTCTGAAGATACATTACCAGCAACTCTTAATAATCCTATGTTGGTAAGTCAACCTAGATGTGAAAAAAAGATGTGTATTCATTGACTGCCTGGTTAGTGGTTAGTACAGTTCTTTAAACATTGGTAACTATTTGCAAGCCAAAAGAAATTTGAAAATTCACTTATGAACAACTTTATGAACTTTTGGTAAAGCATTTCAAGCCAGTAAAGTTTAAAGTTGCTGAAAGAGTCAAATTCTTTTCACTGAAGCAAGGTGTTGAATCTTTGTCCACCTTTGCAAGTAACTTAAAAGAATTAGCCAGCAGTTGTGATTTCCCTGGTGACTTTTATCAAGATGCTCTCATTACATCCTTCATAATGGGTATAAATGACGATTCTATTAGAGTAATTTACTTCAGAAAGATTACACAGATTTCAATACTGTATTTGAATTTGCTAGAACATTAAGTTCAGTTTTTACCACTTCAGCAAAGAAAAATCTGATTTCATTTTCCGATTATTAGAGCAATGGAAAGGTTCTAATTACAAATTCAAACTATTTATGCTATTCTTGTGGTGGTAACCATTTTAGGAAACAACGTAGATTTAGAAATGCAATATGTAATAATTGTGATACAAAAGGTCACCTGGCAAAAGTTTGCAAAATTAAAAGTAGAACGGATTTTCAAAACAAAAAAAAATTGGTCGACATGAAAAAGGAACGTACAACCGCCAAGTAAATTTCACTGAAAATGAAAAAGGAAAAGATTCTAGAACCGACTCTAACATACTTGATTGTTCACTTAAGTTGACAAATGAAGCTATTTTTTAGTAATGCCTCACGCCTAATCCACGTCCGGTTACCGACCGGACACGTAACCGCTGCGGGAATTGGCACACGGGAGGGGGTCGCCGGAATGGTCTCCCCCGGAAACGTCACCCCCCAGGCTAATCGTGACGTCACGAAACCAGACAACCAGCTGGTATAAAATCTATGTCTGCGACCGGAATCGTACCCCCCCCAAGGGCTTGACAAGTAATTTATCAAAGTCTAGTTGATACGAAATAATTATGTTATTAATTTTAATTCAAACAAGTAGAAACGGAAAGGTCTCCCCCGGCAAGGCATCGCCTATGTACACCCCGGAATCGTCCCCCCCTGAAACGCTATCCCTAGTAGGGCTGGCTGGGCTGCTCGGCAGCCTACCTGCTGCCCTTCCTCTCCAGCCCATTGTTCTGAGGGTCGGCCGCTCGTTCATTATTATTGTCGCTTGGACAATAGCTTTTCCACAGAAAAAATAGTAGACGATGTGGTGGAATATCAATCAGTAAATTGATGTGTATGAAGTGTGTGTATGAGTATGTGTATATTTATAGACTCGCCCTTGGCTCGCTGGGGGCTCCGCCCCCAGGCCCCCTACCTGTTGGTAGTCATTTAGAAATTTAGGAAGGGGTGAGAGGCCATCACCAAGAAGCCGGGGAAATTTCAAGTCTGTAGCACACCTAGAAGTGGTCTAGATAGCACTCTCAGCATTTCTCAAATCTCTGTCAAATTTGAATGATGGTGGATTTCTATATATGTGAGGGGGAGTTAACAATTAATGATGATGTTTAATTAATATTTAAAGATTGTAGAGTTTTGAAACTTAGGGGCGACAATCCTGCTACATTGTGCATGTCTATAATTATTTAGTCCAATGCACCAGAAGTGTTTTATAAAGAAATATTGGGGGGTTAGAGTAAGTAGTTTAAGAAATGTTTGGGGGGGGCGGTTGAATTATCTGTTAAGGGGGGGTTTAATATTTGATATTGTGAATTGCTCAAATATTTTGGGTATTTATAATGCCATAGATGTCAAG